GTATTATTTGTAGTATTAGATCTAAGTTAACAATGACAGTGTACACTTGTTAGGATTTCTTTCGAAAGTGTTTTTAATGTTTTACATAAATCTTTAAAACATATGTTTTAATTTTTGTTTAGTTCCCGAAGGTCCACCTTTAAATGTTCAAATTGTCGTCTTAAGCAGTTCATCGTTATCAGTTACGTGGGAGCCACCTGATAAAAAAGTCGCTATGTTGACTGATGAGCTGAGCGATGAGGGACGCTATGTAATGGATGTCCTGGCTATTATTCTTGATTTTGATGAACTATCTCCTCATGGCAATACTTGCGCTTATTTACTGGATACACATTTTTTAACCAGCAACAACAATGTGACAGTGTCCCAGACAGTGCTCAAAGTCGTAAATGAGTATGATATTTCGTTTGATAATGTGCTCATTTTTAATTCTGATAACGTGGCATACATGAAGAAAGCATTTTCGTCCACACTTTCGGTTATTTTTCAAATTGTGTGCACATTACTTGCCATAGTCACATTGTTAATCTCGTTGTTTCAGACTTCAAGAAAATTTTTCTGAAATAACTGAGTTTGTTAAATGTTTCAGAAATTTGTTTTACATTCCAAGTGGCAGAAAAGTAGGTTTCTAAACTTTTGAAAAAGTCTCTACTGAAGAGGAGTCTGTCTGTATGCCTCCTAACCCAACAACAAAAAGCTGGAGTGCTTGGTTAGACTCTGTGCTATATCACGCAGACCGTTTTTTGCACTATAGGAGCTTCATATCAGCAGTGCTTGAGGTCTCGGATCAACCATCCAATTCTTTGATAAGATTGGGAGAAATATATGAAGATGAGACATACTTATTGAAACTGAAAGCTCAGTTTGACTTCATTAAGATGAAAGCACCATCTTTAATTATATATCATGATTACTTTCAAATGAAGATTCCTCACATTACTCAGTCCTATGTAAAAATGAATCAGCTACTGGACTACTTGAGGCAAAATATTACAGTGGATTCTAATGATCTTTCAAAATCGTTTTATGATTTGGAGATAGATCACCAGGATGATTTGAAGAAACAGTTTGTAAGTGCTTTCAAACAAGCAGAAACAAAATTCGAGAAGTATATTGTTAATGGAGGACAACCAGCATCAGAATTTTTGAAGAAATCAAAGTACTTGAACCACGCAACATAGTCTCTTCATCAAAGCTACACAGTTCATACACCAATATTCCTGGATTCAAAGAAAGTGTCTCCAATGAAGAATGGCATAAGTATGTTGATATATTCGGACCTGCTGCTGTGTCAGAAAGTCCACAAGGTAAGGTAGACCTGAAGCTGTTTTGGAAATCCCATGCAGATGAACTTCCAGAACTTTACAAGCTTACCTCCCACTATTGCACTGGAACATTGGGAACATACGATGTTGAAAGGTCATTCAGCACATATAATTCCATTCTTGATCAGAAGAGAAGGAATTTAAATGAGCAAACTCTCAAAGCATTACATTTCCTTAACTGGAATTTGAGGGTGAAAAATTCCATTAAAGAGGAAAAGGAAAGTCCTCAACAAACACATGTCAAGAAAGTTTCTCGGCACCTTGCCACTAAATCGACAAGCCCCAATAGTTATGAAGACAAAGGTACCGCCCATAACATTGCTTCCAGTTCCGGCAATGAAAGTTTGCAGATTAAGTCAGTCAGTTCTCAAGAGAAAGATACACCCCATTCCATTGCTTCTAGTTCCAGCGGTGCAACAAAACGCATGTCTCTTAAAAACGCACTAAAACAGAAGTCAGATGATGAATTGAAATATTGTTATCTTTGTCAGAAAGAGGTCTCATATGGACACCAATGCAGTGAATGCAGAAGAGTTATTTGCACCTTTCCATCCTGTTGTTCCATTCAGGAAATATCAAGTAGTGTACTTCATAACTGTAAACTTTGCAATGCCGGAAGTGGTATTCAGAATAAGTCAAAACAAAAAATCAGCAACAAGAGAAAAATGAAGAATCTCAATGTAGGTACCAGCAAAGAGAAAAGAAGTGAACATAAGAGCACTAGTATGGACAAAATAAAGGAAATTTCGTCTTGTGCAAGCAGAGATGAACAGGGCATTGGGCCAATTAAACTTTCCAATAATACAATCGGAATGTATGTTCGTGTAAGGTTTACATCATCAAGAGCTAGCGGCTGAAAGATATTCTGTGGGATTATACTGAATATAGACCAAGAACTAGAAGAAATCGAGGTTCGTTTTTTGAAGGAGGTAAAGGCTTCTGGCAACGCATTCTATTTTATTTGGCCGGAAATCGACGACGAGTGCTGGATTAATATTGTTGATATTGTAGAAATTTTAAAATGCCCTGTTACAGACAGTAGGGGACATTATCACTTTTAGTGCTTCATTTACAACTTTTGGTGCTCGTTACGGTTAAACATAGTTACGTATAAGTAATGTAAATTTTACCACATGGCACTGTTTAAAAATAGACCAGTTTTACACACTAGCAATTTGATAAAGAATAGTTTTGTTTGTTTTATTATATCCCGCAGAATTTGTTATTTTGGTCGCGGAATTTGGATTTATAGCCGCGGAACTGATTTCAAAAATTCCACGGAATTCACGTTTTTTTTCCGCGGAATTCCAGAATGCCTGTTTTGAGACAAAGCCGATTAACAAAGACTCAGCAGACGGCAAAATATTCTCCTTGCCTGTATTTGTTTGCTATTCGTTATCTTCCTTTTATTTTGTGCTGTTGCGGCATCCATTTAATAAAAACTATACATTACAGTTTCTTCAAATGACCATTATTGAAATAAATTAAGAAACAAAAACTGACAAGCAATTTGATATTCTGATGAAAAAGCTTTTCGTTTGATATTTGATGTCTTCAAGAAGTGAATCTCAGAATTGAATTTCCAAATTGAAAAAGAACTTTAGATGTGCCTCGACTCTTTTAAAGATACAAATAAATGCGTGTCTTTTGTCTGATTTCTATGGACATGATATTTGTATGTTTGACTTCAAAATTATGAGTCGCCTTTATTTGATGTGATTCATGTTGAAAGTTTTAACATATTTTTTGTCTGGTGATTAGTGTCTTGTGAAAATTGATTTGATGTCGAAACTTAAGTCCTTATGTGTTCCAGTCTTAGTGTAGATTGATCTTTAGTATAATTGCAATAGTTATGTTGCTGTATATAAAAATTATAGTCTTTATCCCAAGGAATCCAGTGCAGTTGTCTTCATTCCGTACTATTCACTATTGTAAAGTACTTTGTGGGATTTGTCTCTTTTTACTACTGCTACACCATTTGCTCATCATTAAAGAAGATTGAACATTCAATTATTCAATTTCACTTAACAGTAGAACAGTAGAATATTTGTTAACTTGAAGGAAGAATCAAGAGCACCAGTAGACAATAGCATTTATTTATACTGCTTAACAATTGGGAATATTCAAGTCGCATTAATGCGCATTCAATTAAAGAAAAGTTTGAATCATTTGGATAAGAAGACATTTAAATAAACAAATGTATATGTTGTGCAACAGATAGTGTGTTGTAATAGGTACAAACTATTGCACATTGTCTGTTGCAATCGCGACACTGTACTTCTCTTTTCTTACAAAGTATATATATACATGTTGTGCTATTGATTGTTAACTTCTGCTCTTGATGATAAATATTCTACAGCACTATTGATAAGTCAAAACATGTAATTGAATGTCCCATGTTATTAGATGATGAGCAAATGATATATTTAAAGAAATGTGTGAAATTATTTTTTCTGGTTATTTGCTAGGAATAAATGTGTGCAAAGCAGAAAAAGATGAGGAAACGCCAATTCAAATTCTATAGAGAAATCCGCCAAATCCATATCATCTCGCACAGCCCACGTTAAGGAAACTTTCATATTGGCAAGTCATAGCTTACACGGAAAATCTGAACTATTCACAGCAGATTTCTGCCTCCTGTTTTTGTGCGGCAAATGGATTATATTATTCGGTGAATTAGGAAAATTGAGAGGAGAATTTTTATACATATACCTTATATATTATTTTGCCAAAAGTTATCATTCAAACTGCTGGCATCCTTTGTAACAAATAGAATTCACTTTTTGGTGAATCAAACATGGCAACAGACTCGTGGAAGGTACTTCCAACTGCTTTTTGTTTATGAAAAATTTTATTTTCATTTCATTTTGCTGTTAATGTTTTCTTACTAATTAGAAACATTTTATAACCATTTCTTACTAATTAGAAACATTCTATAGTGTTTTCTTACTAATTAGAAACATTCTATGCGAACAAATGGGTCTCAGGACTGTGGTATCAGTGACCATTACCTTTCAAATGGTGTTCATGTATTACACGGGGAAACAGGTGTCATTGAAAAAATTTGTGTAAGTTATTTTAGCAATTCAAAGTCAGTTTAGTGTGGAGTTTTTATGCACTGGTCAAGGACCCAAATTACTGCAATAAAATGCTTCTCAACTTTTTTGAAATTTTTTCATGGATCATTATGTGACATTGACAAATGCAAAAGTTTGCTGCAGATTGTGCTGTTTTTACAAAGGTGTTTCTTTTGTAGAGTAAGTCTCTGCAAGATAAAAATAAGATGTACAATGAAGAAGTAAAAAATTTATCTATGACTAAAAAACTTGTTTCTTAATACACGAAAAATATGTCACATTGTTCATCTAAAAGTGTATTTGCATGATATCTAAAAGTTTGCCAAAAATGTTTTTGATTTCAATAGCCTTTGTAGAGGAAGCTGTAACCGTTTTGCAATGTTTGGTGTCTTATTTTCATTCATCTACATTTGAATACATTCATCTACATTTAATTGTATTGAACTACATTTGAGAGGCAATGAGTGCTTTAACATCAACATGTGTATTAATGACATCATCCATAATGTTATTGATATATATTCTCCAAGTTCATCCCCTCTAAAAGCACATTCAGTCTTTCTTCTATAACATTTATGCATATTTTTTGCAGCAAAGTTGTGGCTTTATTGAGTGTGCTGAAAAGGATCTTCGAGTGTTCTTTCATTACAGTCAGTACAAAGGACATTCAAGTGAACTGGAACTTGGTGGTTTGTAAATTTTGCTTATTTTCACCCTTCAATGACCCTTATATTACTTGTTATGTATTCAACTACACCATTAGTATTATATTACTTTTCTGAAACGTTGATATAATATCATTCAAGTATGAGGCTTGTTGCCTTTCTGCTATTTAATAAGGGGAACAAGCTGTTTTTGTGGGCTTATCCAGTAATTCATTGGGTTTCCTCATATGACTTTTCACTCTCTACCATAATCAGTGGTGACACTTTATGATATATCGGGAGAGGGAAGCTCATCCTCAAGGCATGAGATTTCTATGGAGATTCCAGGGTATGCCTTTGTTGGTATACTTTTAAAATTTGATCTCCACCATCTAATCCCACCACAGTTCATGTTATCAACACGTGGCATTCACGTGTCTTCACCATGTTGTATGAGGGTGTTCTTTGCTATTCTAACTTGCACTGTTCTTTTTAATGTGAATGTGATGGGTATTCTGAAGGACTTTGTCTGCAAAAAAAGTGTATCCAAATGTTAGTGTTAGCTATAAAACAACTTTTCAAACTCATGTATAGTCTTTGTTTTATTGTGGGGTAGAATCAAACAAAACTTTTATTTATTCACCTAGTCAGAACAAACCACTGAACATTGATTTGTTGGGAAATTTCACACTTTAATCCTTCACCATTTGCCCCACCCCGCCTATCCCATTGTCTCTACTGCTACTGCAAAGGCCACTGCTCAGAGCTATTATCTGAAGTGTAAAAAACATTTCGATTGATATTGATGGTCAATGAAATCTTTTTGTTTAGACTGTGTGGAGTTTGAAGTGACATCAGATTCTTGTAAGGGTAAACCTATTGCATGTCGAGTGGTGAAATTGGAACAAGGCTCTGTTATATTTGAAGTAAGTGACCTTGACACCTTGTGTACTTTTTGACGCTTGCCGTGTATGTACGTTCATCCTGGTTTGGTTTACAAAGTTTTTCGAGAAATTGAGATATGGTCTTGTGGTGAATCATCCATTTATGTTTCTATTGTAGGAAAAGAGCGAGGAAAGAGTTGTTGGTAAAGTGGAGGTTGAGGCCAGGTTCTCAAGACACAGCTACCTCAAACAGTTGATTTCATCAGTTCATAAACCTCAGCTGCTTGAAGCTTCGCCTCCAGTTTACGTTCAAGGAATTGTCTGCTCGCTCAAGGAATCTTTTGGTTTCATCAACAGAGCTGACAAAGTGAACGAGGTTTGTGTTTGGGCCGTTGCAGTTGCTAACTGTTGATCAATATTGACAATTTATTGTTCAATACAAAATGAGTTCTATCAGTTATTTCACTTATGTATACGATTTGATCATTTGTAATTTATTTTACACACGATGACTTCTGATTGGCATTTGACGTAGGATTGAAAATTTTCGGTCTGCAAACAAGTCACGTGACTCAAATGACGTATTTTTGTGATAGCTGACGACAGCAAAAAGTTTATTTTTGGAAATTCGTAAAATTTGTTTGTAAAAACTTGGCCAATTATTACGACGCTACATCTACGTATGCACAAACATGTAATAATGCTCCCGGGCTTAAACCTTTCGCTTGATCAAGGTGAAAATTAAAGACTTGCCTTTTCCTCTTTGTGAAGTCTCGCATTTTACTCAGATAAATCGAGAAAGGTTCACCTTGAAACAAAGAAAATATTTCTGTATATCTTATTGCAATTCGCGCAAAAAGTCTACTGAAGTTTTATACTATATTTTTCTTTTAGATATTTTTCCACTACAGTGAATTTCTTTGGGATATTGGTGATTTGTTAATAGGAGATGATGTCCAGTTTCTTGTACACAATACATATGTACGTTAGTTATGAATTTTGTAGCCATTGCTCAATATCGGACATTCTCTACTCCCCTTCTGTACTTATGTCAAGTACTTACTCACAGGGTAAAGAAGTTGCAGTCTCAGTGGAGCGTCTACCAGAAGGTACAGTGAATTTTGATGGTGTTAGCAAAGACACATTTCAAGGCACCATCCAGAAAGTACATTGTCGGACAAAAAGACAGGAACCGTTAAATGGTGTGATATTGTACAACACAAGCGATGGTAGTTTACAGCTGCCATATTGGGAGAAAGATTTTTGGGGGAGTTCACCGTATTGACTTGGGATGTTGTAGGTTTTAAGATTGCTACAGGTAAATATGGTTTGTTGTAACTGTTGGTATTATTTCAACATGTGCAAGATCAATGAGAGATGATTTTGTTGATATAGGGGAAGAACAATTTAAAACTGATTTAGATATCTAGTATATATAGACAAAGTTACGATTGATAAACTAGGCGGGATTCGTACGCAAAATATAAATATTAAATTACTAAGTTAGTTTAGTTTAGGTTTCCTTTAGTAGTAACACTGGATCAGTATGATATGATCTTTACTGGATCATTAGATAGAAAAGTTTAGAACTGATAGAGATATTTAGTCTAAAGAAAGTTAGTTTAGTTTAGGTCTCTTTCTGTAGTAACACTGGATCAATAAGAGATGTTCTTTACAGTAAGAATTGTTCAGAACTGATAGAAATATCTAGTATGAATAAAGTTAGATCAGTTTAAGTTTTCTTCTGAAATATTAGCCTAATTGGTTGTTAAAATCTAGGCTCTTATATGCGGAGTTTTACTTTACTCCCTACTTCATCCTCATATCTAATCTTGGTTAGAAATAACTTTGTTACTGTAATAATGGGTGCTCCATCGACATAATTCTTTAAAACTTCAACTAGTCTTCCTTTGCTTAGGCATTACCATGTTTAGACGTAACATTTTGTTTTTAAACTAGTTCGTTGTCCTCCTTATTGTTGATTGAATGTTTTGGTTTCTGGCTTAACGCGCATGTCTGAACATTTGAAGTAAATACCAAACGTGTTTGTACCTTACAGAATAACCAAGCTTTCAAACTATAGCTTTCCTTTGAGTGTTTCCAGTTGGATATAGCAACATGTCCATACAATGAAAGAAATCAACAAATTTTCCCCATGATATCGGGAATATAAAGCAAACTACCATCTTTTAGCCACTCAGTCAGGCGATACATCTCTTTTCTTTTCGTGCAGATCGGCGTGACTCTTTAAGAAGAGCAACGGAAATTCATCTCATCAAGGAAATGGAAAGCAGCAATGGATGCAATGTCAGAGAAAGAGTAAGTTTTTAATTCTCATTTACATGTGCTAGTGTTTAGACTGCGTCATGTGGAAGCCATTTCTCCAAATTTTGCGGGAAATTGTTGCCTTAATCACTGTGATGGCAAATGTTAATTGCTTGGAGTTATGGTTTTAACTTTACCCCCTCCTTATCTATGAGTATTTTATCCACCCCGTCAAAAAAAATTACCCTCCCTTCTCAAATCGTATCTCCCTAAAAAGCTATACTTGCTCTCAAAGCATTCAAAACTTCACAATGTATCGTTGAAAATGAAGATTTGTCCAAAGTATTTCAATGTCTTCAATCTCTCTTATTTTGTTGGGAAATCTTTTATTTTCGACAACGCTAACATTGTACTCCATGGGCATTGGCATTGAGCATTTTTATTTTATGAATCTCGATGTGTAACTATAGTGCACAGAATCGACTTAAACTCGTTTCCTTCTTAAAGATCTATGTAGAAATTGTTCGTGGTGTAATGTGATTAAATGCATGATTTTTTGTTGCTTGTTAGGGGTTTGTTTCGGCTTTGAAAGACGGCTATGGCTTCATTCAGTGTTGCGATAGGGATACAAGATTATTCTTTCATTTCAGCGAGTTGATTGATGCGGTGAGTTTTGTTATTATGGCAATCGTAAGCAAAAAAACCTTTCAAATCAACCTCTTCTACCCATGTTAGAACAGCGTTTGCTACGTAATGCTCGATATGCGCCGGTGAAAGTATGTCTAGTTTCAATCGATGGAGAAGGTAGCTTTGCTGATGTTAGTTTAAAGTATCGTTAAATGTTTGTAGTTGAAGATAGTCCAGGCTTAGTGAAGTTCTGAGAATGACTGTTGGTGTTTGTGTTGACTGTCAGCCGTATAACCAGAGTATCGACAACCTTCGCTTTAGGCTTCACTCTGAAGATGACTAACACTAAGGTTGTCGAAACGTCAGTCAACATCAACGACAACAATCCTTCTCAGGATTTCCCGAACGTGTACGATCTAAATCTACAAACATGCAACGATACTCCCGGGTTCAAATCATTTACTTTAAAGCCTTATCAGTTAGTGCATGATCGTCTTAAAATTATTTCTTGTCGTGATACAGTTGCTGTTGTGTTTTCCATAGAAACAAGAAATCAACTTTTCCGATTAAGTGGAGTTCAGTGTCGTCGAGGTTCGTGAAAAAAGATGCATTTTGAGATTTTTTGTCGACTGACTGATTTCTACAGCTTTAAAACGCTTTTACAGGATCACGTGTCCGGAAGGCTGAATGCGATTCGTGTGAGAATCTTACCACAGGGAAACGTAACTCTCCAGTTATAGTCACCATAGTGTATCAAACAATCACATAGTTACCCTAGTGTATCAACCAATCATATTGTCACCCTAGTGTATCAACCAATCATATAGTCACCATAATGTATCAACCAATCATATAGTCACCCTAGTGTATCAACCAATCATATAGTCACCCTAGTGTAAAACCAATCATATAATCACTATACTGTATCAACGAATCATATAGTCACCCTAGTGTATCAACCAATCATATAGTCACTATACTGTATCAACCAATCATATAGTCACCCTAGTGTATCAACCAATCATATAGTCACCATAGTGTATCAACCAATCATATAGTCACCATAGTGTATCAACCGATCATATAGTCACCATAGTGTGTCAACCTATCATATAGTCACCATAGTTTATCAACCAATCATATAGTCACCATAGTGTATCAACCAATCATATAGTCACCATAGTGTATCAACCAATCATATAATCACCCTAGTGTATCAACCGATCATTTAGTCACCATAGTGTATCAACCGTATAACCAGAGTATTGACAACCTTCGCTGTAGGCTTCACTATAATCATTTGACGGCTACTAAAATTTCTCAAAAATGGGGGAAGTTGAATTTTTTTGGAGAAATTATTAGACGTTTTCTGAAATTTAGCGTACTATAAAAGAATATAATTAAACATAAAATTTTATTTCCTTTTTAACTATAAGAGTGAACGAGAGTGAATGACTCTGAACAGTATTTGAAAAAAATTTTTCGAACATAACATCAAATTTTTAGAGTAAGGATGAAGTCAATATTTGAAATAGGATAACGGCTGTAATACTTTTTATCTAAATACATTACATAAGAAATAAAGTAAAATTACAAATAAACATTGGCGAAGCAAGCTCAGTAATTTTTTTTTCTTGAGGGAGGGACTTTTCATACATTCATAATTTTGGAGTTAGTGGAATATGTATGAATATGTGCGCACAGTCATCTCGTTAATTTACCTGACGTAAGAAAAAGGAAGTTTTAGTGGATGGAGTTTACTTTATTACCAACTATGTTAGTGTTAGTAAAATGTTGCTGTTCTTGTCCTTTCCTGTTTTGGCTTATTATCCCCATTATAATATTCATTTTAAACTCATCCAAAATTATCGAATTTATTGAATTTTCTGATGATTTTATTGCAAGAGTGCTACGAGCATTGTGTTTGGCTGTAGACTAGAGATCAACAAGAAAGAAGAAATGGGTTGGAAGCAACGACACAAGCTTTACAAAACAAGAAAAATTCATGTGATGGAAAAACATATCCTCTCCTATAGTTTGTTGTCAACCCCTCTCTTTGTTTTTCAACACTGGCCGGAACACCCACCGAAAGATTGATCTAGGTAGTCGGTACCAAACTTTCGTAACATTAAACGCGGTTAAAATTTACATTTGCGTTTAAATTATGATTGATTTACGGAAAATATCAACTTGTTACAAATACAGAAATACCAAATATAATTCAGAGACTCTAGACTCTAGATATGAAAAACATAGCCACCCTATCACGAGTATCTCCGATTCATTAGTTTTCCTTAGTTGGAACACACACCAACGATTATGATGTATGAGCTTTCACTTCATAAGAATATGAGCAGACGAACCCCAAGTAAAAGAGTTTCTTCTCGTCATGTAATATCAAGTAGTCTATTGATATCTTCAAATAATCACGTGTTAATTATTTATAGTTGGACTGCTTTTTTTGTCCACCTCCTGTTCACTTAATGTTTATTACGTTCGTTTTTGTCATTCATTTTTATCCTATAGGCGTTGAAAATGATGGAGCTATAACTTGTGCAGTTGTTGCTCCTGGTTGGTTTTTATTCTTGTCGTATTGGCTGTTCGTTAGGATCAATCTAAACTCTTGTACTCGAATGTGCAGTAAAATGCGTATTGAAGTTATTCGACGACTACTGACAACATTTGATGAGACTAAATTTTTGACTTGCAATTCAGCCATGTTGGTAGTATGATAGAAAAGAATATTTTATCAGTGTTATTGTTGGCACCGGCCGACTTGGGCGAGCAACATTGTTTGGTAAATCTCACAACACTATATGGTGACTGCTTACTTTCATCTCTCAATCTATAGGTTAGCTTAACAAACTGTATAGAAGTAATAAAGAACTTAGCTTTTAGAAAGCAAAATCACAACTCAACTTCATATAACAATATGTTTACACAGTCTGTCCTTATGGTTATTACCAATGGCTATCATTATATTAGACTCCTGTGTATACGCAGGCACTGGATGTACGATTTAGCATTGTGGAAGAGGTTTGTATTTTGGAATCATCAGAATATTCCTACCCACTATAATAAAACTCAAGTACTACAGTAGCTCTTACCAAGGGTTTGTTTAGGTAGCTAAAGTAGCTGATATAACAGCACCATTTTTTTACCCCACAAGTTGTTCCATAGTTTTCCTCGTGTTATAGTTGTATATAGTGTCATCACGTGAATCTACCTGGCATAATGAGCAAGGAGTTGTAGTAAATGGAGTTGACTCTGTCAACTTTTAATATTTTTTTGCAAGTATTTTTAAACATATCTCCCTGCTAAAGTAAATATTACACTAGTTATAATAATTGCCAACGTATGTAGGATCAATTCAAACACTGCGACATATATTAATTTTGTATTGTTTGTATTTAATTCTTTCTTATTACAAATAAACGCATGCTTTCAGGGGCATTAGTGATTAAATGTCCACCAAGCCGAGCCGAAAAGTCCCGCGCAGTCCGAAGGAATTTTTCTAAACCTCTCGAGGCCGAGGAGAACATTTAATGACTAATATCTCTAAAAGCATGCATTTACTTTGTTATAACAAGCTTGCGAAGGGAATAATCAATTCATTGGACTCTTCCGTTTCACAATGATTTTATCAAATTTTGAGCTCACTTATTTCAATATTGACAATAATCAATGATTGAAGCATACATTTTTCATGGTCAGTGATAGAATAAACAATTCACCTTGCTACTCAATTGTGAATTCTGTTTTTGAAGCTATGTATAATTTGCTTTGCAATTACATGTTCTGTAGTTTTGTTATTGTTGAATTTATTAATGGCTGATCACTGCTTTCCCCAAGTAAGCTCAGCTAACTGTTAGCTTGAAACAAAAAAGTTTCTGATGCGAGGGAAAGACGATTTCTGTTTTCGCTCAACGGCATAAATTGTAATACACAAAGGTTTGTAATACTTCAAGTTTGTTGATTTTGAATAATATGGCTAAATTATTCGTGTTTCAATCTGAAGAATGAACGACGTAACAACAGTCGATCAAAAGGACTTTCAACTTAATAAACTTGCACTGGAAGTATTGTGGTTTTAAAGGACATGCTGAAGATATCAAGCTGTTAAACTTTTTTATTGAGCAGAATTGAAAGTGATCAACCTGTGGAAAAATGAAGATGCAACCTGAAGCAAATTCTACATGACGAAAATGGAATTTGAAAATAATATAGGTGGATTGCGTGTTACGTTACGCCACCATGTTTCTGGTCAAATACAAAAGAATATCTTATCAAAGCCATTGTTGACACCACCCGACATGGGTGGGACAAATCGTTTCATAATTTCTTGAAGATTGAATGCAATCCAAGAATTGGCGTTTTGTTTTATTATTCATGCATTCGGGATATTTAGTCTAAACGTCCCTAATGAATATTATGACGAGAAAATACGTCAGTAAACGTCTATGTGATAACAAAAGATCTCGAGGCAACCATGTTATTACATATGCTGTTAATGACTTAATGTGGACAATGACCCTGATTAATAACAATTCATGTCGGCGGCCATTACAGGTAATTTTACAAATGTAAACAAATTTCGAAAAGCAATTAGCAAAAATTTTGAAAACAAAGATAAAACAGGTATGAATGCCAACTTTTACAAAACAGCGAGGACAAAAAAGTAAAGAAAGCTTCGTTTCAGTTAAAATAATCCTTTATAATAAACCTTTTATTATATTACCTATTTCGTTTATTCGCTCTTCGAGCCTGCGAGGTCTGCTCATAAATAATTAAATGATCCGATATTTCTCTTTAAGACTTCACAATTAGTAAAGGCCTTATAATACAGCTAATTTTAATGTGATATTTCGAAATTTATCTGTTTCTACATGTTTTCGGTGCACCTCTTCACATCAGAACGCAGACTTAAGGACAACACTTAAGAACTAATTAAAAAAGCTATACTACGAAAAAAAATTTAAAAATTGCCTAAATTAAAATCATCGTATCTAGTTTTAATTTAGTTTGATATAATATCGCACAAAGTGGCCGTCCAATGCATACATTAAAAGTTTCTCATATACCAAGTTGAAATTGATATCGAAATGATGTTGTTTTTGATTCTTTATGCTAAACCCAATCGCTTGAACGTTATTTAATAAAGAAGTCATTATTCCTTGAAGCATTGTTTTTCTTGTCATTTCTCACTGTATTTGCGCTGCTGTCGTATTGTGTCCATCGTTTAAACAAACACCAGTAGGCAATAAAGGTACAGCTGGTATTACCTTGTAAATTTTACTGTATAGTTCATTAGACACAATTTGTTGTATTTAGGGCCTAAAATTTTACTAATGACTGTCAGCAAAATTGAATTTACTGTTGGTAAAGTTGATAGTCAAAAGCTTAAAAAACGTTTTATATTGTAAAAATGTAATTTTTCGTCATGAAGCGCTTGAAGTCATTAACCTGTTTTGCCGTGTTTGCCCACATTAGATGCATTATTTGTGCTTCGTTTTTTCGTAGCTATAAACAGAGGTAATTTTCTAAAATATCAAAAACTTTATCTTCTATAACATTGCTTTGTCAACCAACAACAGCATCCAAATTTATAAACATTTAAAGTATAATAGGAAATTCGTAAAGGATAGGATTTGACTCAAAACAAATTCTATAAAATGTTGAATAACTAGGGCAGATGGCATGAGTGTTTGTATATACTCAATATGTTAATGTACAATTGAGGAAGCCGACAGCCTTGGACAGCAGTTGCAAGTAAAACCTTGCGAAAGCCACAACTCTTTTGTTCGTCTGACTTGAACGTATCTTAATATTTCTCTGCTTGTGTAAGGTGTATTTCTGCAGTCGCCATATTGCGTCCGTTTTTCAATTAATAAAAGAATAAAGGTAAGATAGTAAAACGGAACTTTCGTTATCGTCGATGCCATGTTAACATTTAATACTGCAAAGTTTTTCTTCCACTGAGTTTCATTTACCACAATACCTCTATGCCTAATGTAGGATTCGTGACAGGTTATTACATTCACATTTTGAGTCATATATATTATTATATTTTCGCTAAAATCTCTCAACTAAATCAAAAACAAGCCCTATTCCACTGTTCTGTAAATAATTTTGTTCTTCAGCGGCACTTGCAAAAAAAAAAAAGCCCGCTTGAGATTTTCGATTCTTATAGAGTATTCATTGTCAGTTAGTACTCCACGAATAACTGCAAACAAAGGCGTAACAACAACATTGAAACAATGTAAAAAGTTTCAAAATATTTCCACGATTTTCTGTGATATTTCTGTAGAAGTTGAGAGAATTTGAGCAATCTCAAGATAACGCTGAAACCCAAAACTACTTAGCTGCCCTTAATATCGACGCTCATTTATATCGCGAGCACTTCCTCCAAAATAGAAATAAAGCTCCGCTGTGCATGTAATGTGCATATCTAACACTAGTTTCAACATTATTTTTGGTTATCATTGTTTGAAATTTTTAATTTATTTAGTTCATTTTTCAACTGTAACTTTATAAACTTGTCAACTGAGTAATTTAGCTGTTATATTGCTCCTTATGTGTTTAATCCGATGAATTATAAAATTCGAATAATAATGCAATACGAGTATAACTATAGAGACAATACAGGTATAGCTATACAGCTATAGAGACTGCGTTACAAGAAATTGTGAAGTACTTTATGATTTCATAGGTTTTTACATGTATCATGACGTAAGGGGAAATTGAAATGAAATAGCTAATGGGAAGCTCTGCTTGCACGATTGTTATTTTCATATTCTAAGAAATAATTTTAACATCGTCCGGTGTTCTTAATCTATTGTATCTAAAATAAATGATCTGCATTAATATTAATTTGATCTCGCTTTCTTCGTTTCCTTAGCGCTATCCACTAAAAAGCATTTTTTTTCATCGTTCCATAAATCTCTTAAAAACAAAAGAAGTTGAAATTTAGATTCAACCGAGAAAAAGAATAAAGCATAAATTGCAAGATAAGCACGTTTCACCATTTTAAAAAAATTATAACCACGTACATATATAATAGCTACCATGGCTACCATTTGAGAAAACCATCATGCAGCCATATGAGACTAACTCCATCTATTTCTGAACAGCTTCTCTCGCTGCACAATTTTGCTGAAATGAAGTTTTTAGATTATGTTCATATATTGCTCAAAAATACGTTTTGATCGTGATCTGCTTGCATCACAGATGTAATTGTGACGTAGTCATTGTCGGTCTAAATATAAATTTAAAGTCTTCTGTGATACCGTACATACATCCAACAATCAATTATAATTTAGAACTTTACTCTATATCCTTGGATCTATGCAATGATGAGTTTAATGATATGGTGGTTATTGTGGGTGTTCTTTGGTCAGGGATTCACAGTGAAAATGGGTTGGAATGAAGAACTTGAGTTTTGTGAGGAGGAATGGAAGAAATTTGTGGCGAACAAAATTGAAATCGATTCGAAATGCAACAATACTCGTACACGTTGTTGTGTTGAGGAGAAGAAATATCTTTTAGAGCGATTTAAAATGTTTAGTGAAATATGTCCGCTTGAAGGTAAAGTAAAAAACAGTTTAGTTTACAGTAAGTACAGAACATCAACTGGTCATGTACTTGGCAAACAATCACAACACTTATATTACTGAGGTACTGTTAAATTTAAATAACAGTAATTGAAAACGTGTTCTTAGAAAGTGCATTAAAGTAAGGTACATAAAGTAAATCGTTTAAACCCGTAAGGTACATGTTAAAGTACTCAACTGATTTGGATACACTAGTTTCACAGCATTGACGCAGCATAATCTCTCGTTCATTGTTCCTCTGTCTAGTTACAAAAGAAAGTAATATGACAGTACAGTCAAAAATAGTGATATATGCAGTTATATGATAAAGTCTGTATAGTTATTGTCTATTTGGGTTTAAGGAAGACTTTCGATTCAATGTGAATAGTTTGTAACGTTTTGTGGCCAAATGAGTGTCACTTTCTACTTGTTCTTTTTCTATGGACAACCAGTTAAAGATAACTTAATTTTTTGTTAGGGACATGTGGATGCAGCCCGATTATTTTGAACTTTACTGCTGGGCCATACGTCAATACCACTGGGCTATTCTCCGAAGTTTTTCATGATGCATTCGCAAAATGGAAAGAACCAGAAGACTTCACGTGTTCACATAAGTACATAAATGAAACAATAGAAAAACGGTATGAAATACCTTCTTTTCGGTTTGGAATGGGACAGCAAAAAATCCCTTATAAGTATGTTTTATACGGTGGAAAAAATCACACCTGTTATGTTGTCATCAACGTGAAACAAAGACGTCGTTATCAAGGTACACACAAGGCAGTTTATTTTAGTTTCACCCGTGTCAGTTTAATTTATAGTGCACCATTGTTGCTATAGTGTTTCATATTCAACTTTGATCAAATCCATACGACACTTTTACGGTGGCCGGTACGGGTCACCAGAAAAATAACTTAGAAAACATAACAAACAATAAGAAAACATCACTCAAAATCATACTACACATTTCAAAATACTCATTACACATTACAAAATACTCACTACACATTTCAAAATTCTCGCTACACATTTCAAAATACTCGCTACACATTTGTCTCTGTCTTACCCTGGTCTGGCCTGCCCACGGTCGTCATTAGTTTACATATACGAAATTGACGTGATGGCAGAAAGCTAATATAAATATACGCTTCCGATATTAGTAACAGTTCAGTACGCGTAAGGATATTTTGATGCTATTGTGGCGATATGTTGTCTATGTGGAATTCGGCACATAGACAAGCATATCGCCACAATAGCATCAAAATATGCGATACGCGTACATGAACTATGAGTAATATTTCTTCCAGGGATTTCTTGGTCTTGGTTAGACAACACAACATGAGTGGTCAATCTACAGATTACATGTAATTGTATTTGTATTGGTGATATTCGACAATCATTAGTTTAACTAATGCACTTATTGACGTGACTGGTATTGAAGTTCTAAATTTATTGCCCGACCAAGTCCAGCAAAACCCTGGAAGAATTTCTGATTAGAGTTCAGCCAATATTTTCATGCTATTATCCTAATGTCTCATTTTGTTTGTCTTGTGAAATGCGGATTTATATATTTAATATGCTTACTTTATGATGTCATGTCAGTTTCGTAGATGTAAACTAATGACGACCGTGGGCAGGCCAGACCAGGGTAAGACTGGGACGAATGTGTAGCGAGTATTTTATAATGTGTAGTGAGAATGAAGTAAGCGCTATCCCCCTCAGCTTTTTTTCAATAGATATCCAATCGACTTCGGTCTGAACGTTGTTTAACATCATGCTCAACTTCATCCAAAAATTGTTAAATATTTTTCACAAGTGAATGTTAACATTTCCCTTCAGTAGAAATAAATTTCGTTGTTTATCAACCCTCTGTACAATACCTCTGTACATATTTGTATGCATCTCTTCTCTGTATGCATAAACCTGTATAAACCAGTAAAAAAAGCCTCACAATTTTGTATAAGCCTTGGGCATGATATTTATTTAAAGTGTTTGTAATTATAAATTGTGCAACTCTGGTATATTTATAATCAAGAGCACTATTTCACAGCACAACCTAAATGAACTCAACCAAAAAAGAGTGTACAGCTTACAGAGTTCATAACTCAGTTTTACATTGAATTATATATTCCTTGTCTTCATGTTTGTATAATACTGACCTAAATCATCATATTTTTCTCGTCACAAATTTGTATTTAGTGTTCAGATAAACGTCCTTTTCATCAAAAACGAAAGACATGGGAGTTTATACAGTTTAAGCTTCACAGTTGAGTTGGCAAATTTGAAAAACCAGCTTTCAGCCAACAATCTTAAAAAATTTCAAAAGAAACAGATTCCATAGGTGGCCCGATAAATCGCTAAAATTGCGTGAACAAACCATAACTCTCCCTTTTCTATCGTTACAGACCGTGCGCCGTAAAATTTGTATTAATTAATTTTTTACACTTTTCAACTTGTTTGTAAAAGTTTTCTGTCTCCATGCCATTGAACTAAAATACGTGGAACGCTACCTCAGGCCAATAATTGAAGCCATATCTTACGCCACACACGCGAGGTTATACCCAAGACACGCGCGTTTAGTGTTTCGAGATTCTTTCACGGAGTAATAAGTGATTGACTACACACTCGATTCTGGGAAAAGTCTCGCGTGTCTGGTGTAAAATCACGGTTTTAAAAATTATTAGGGTTTTGTATTACAGGTAGCGTTCCATGTATTTTAGTACAATGCTCCATGCTGGATGCCTTAAATTGTTGCATACGCCATTGGAGTGTTTTTTTTCTTATATTGATAAAATTCAGTGTGCTAAATTATTTTTGATAAAGTCCTATTTTTTTATATACATACATTTTATGGAGTGTGATGTTTTCAATCATTTTTATCATGTATCATTGTCCTTTTTCAGGTACGAATGGATTTTTCATCAAAGATGTTCAGTCAGGATTGTGTGTTAATGATGTTTCACCAACATTTTCAATGAAGCGTTTAGGGAATTGTTTTGACATGACAGCTAATTTTAAATTTTTACAATCTGGCTCAATCTTGACGCTGAATACAAATAAATGTCTTGTGGGATTAGGCCACCAAATTTTTTTTTTGCCCTCTAATCAAAATATTAGTGGATTATGCGGATTCATCAATAATATAACCCAAACATTTTGGGGCGGTCTTTTCTATTCACGCTATAATAAATGTATACGTGCTAAAAGTCTTTCCTTCTTGAGGCTGAACAATTGTAGTGATAAAGAAGATCAGCGATTCAATTTTGGCAAGTAAAAATATTCATCCAGTTAGCGTATATATAATTAAACTCTAATTAAAAGCCACTACAAGGCCGCAGATATAGGAATTGCGCAAGTGAAGTCACTGCCATCACACACTTCATTTTTATCAAATCAATTTTTATTTTACAGAAATTTAAAGATAAGCTTGTATAAATTTGTATTTATTTATTTTTTGTGTGTCTTCAATAGGCTCAGTAACATGTGCTGGAAAAAATATATCGGACGTTAGTTGTTCTAATAATCAATATATGGTGATAAAAGTTGCAGAATATCGTGGATTGAGAAACGGAAGCGTTTGTGGCTCTAGTTTTGATAACAATTGTAGAGTCGATGTAACCTGTGACCTTAAAAATTACTGTGATGGTGAAAGGGAATGTAATGTAACTGTTAATGATTATCACTTTCCCTCAAATATTTGTCCTGGTTTGGAGAAATATCTTTACTTTGAATATCAATGTAACGACACAAGTATGACATACAGAAAAATTTGCAATCGTAAGTAATATATTGGCAGATTATATTTTGCTTATGATATAAGTGCTTCGGTAAAAGTTTTGACCTTGATGTGTTTATTTTTATACTATGTACGTTATCAATTTAGAAAAATTGAAACAAATTTGAATTTTGTCTGGTGTCTTCACCAAGCGTGGTTGTTTATGCTGTTTTATCTTGTATGGTTTAATTCAGTGTCTTTATATATTGTGACATTTAAACTTGTGTTCTCAATATTTTGCTTAAGTTTAAAGGTTTGGACAATTTTGTGTTTTTAGTTTGTTAATGGAAATATTGTTCATAGAAACATCCCTTATTCTAGTCAATTTGATTTATTAAATCTATTTTTTTTCAAATCTTTTGGCAATTCTATGTAGGCCAAAAGTGACATTTACAATTGGATTTGTATTCATACTTTCATGAATTCACATTACAGAATTTTCATATAAACTGCATATATATACAAATATATATTCACCACGATTCATATGAATTGGGAAGCTAAACGCAGCGCTCACTTGTAAAAAAACGGTATTTGTTCTGGTTTCATTAATTATTCACATAATCACTTAGCCACATTTTGTTGTCATTCGTGTTTACAACACAAAAGTAAAGTTCTCAGTTCAACTTATTTGCCTGTAGTTCATTGTCAACTTAAAATTAAAATCAAAACAGTGCTTACCAACTTTAAATGTAAATCTATAAGATACTGTGTCCATCAGAATGTGTAAAACATTTCTGGTTAAGTGCTTTCAAACTAAAATATTTTTTAAGTTATTGTCACCTTCTGTGTTCTTCTGATATTTAAACTCCGTGTATATATTTTATTCATGGACGGGATTTGTCACATTTATGTTCATAAAACCACTTCAAAAACAGATTTCACTTTAAGAAATGTGCCATAATCATAATGAAAGGAAAATTGATTTTAATTTGTGTAGTTATGGATGTACGACTGTCTAAGTCGAATCTTCCGAACGAAGGTGTCGTGAATGTTATTACGAAGCTTAGAAACTTCACCATATGCAACAAAGGTCTTTTGCACAAAATGAAGACGATTATCTGTAAACAACTTGGTTATCCTACCGTAGCATCCGTGAAAGGCTCAATGTCAATATCATCTTTCATACACCAATCGTTTATACCTGGAACTGTCAAATGTGATGCTCGAGTGAATGATTTATCTCAATGTGCTATCACTCAAAATAATAATTGCTCTCAATACTCGTACGTTACATGTAAGCATTCTCATTCAATTTTTTGAATGTACTAACGTATTGTAGATCACATTTGTGTGATGTTAGAAAAAGTTTTTTAACGAAGAATTTAAGGAATGAATGTGTTACTTTTGTGTTCTCAACTTACATCTGTCTTTCGTTAAGCATCATGACTTATCTCTATCATGAAGACTTACATCTGTCATCGTAGTGTCACTGTATTTTACGTTCAATTGAAGAATTTCACTATTCTTCTTTTACAAAAATAACAAAAGAAATATAGCATCACAAAATATAAAAGATTGCTACTCTTAAATAATAAATAATTAAAACAGGATTGCTGCGAATACTGAGGATTAAATTAATTTTACTCTTGCTAGTTCATTTTTTGCTTCAAAAAATGTCCAATTGTCATTGCTCTTCACGATGATTGACGTTCACTCTTTAATGAAATTTAAATTTCAACCGTATTGTTGTTATTAGACAAGATACTTACGGTTTCTTGTCATAGCTGGCTTGATTCCAACTGGAATTTAACATTATTTAATAAAATCATGCAAAAGCAGTCATATTCCTCCAATGCTTCTTGTGCTCTTTTTCTTTCTTTAGAAAACAGTTTTTAATTTTTCCAATTTTACGTGAATGGAGAATAATATGAGAGTGCACCATTGCTCTCTTTTAAATCAAACCAGTTCTAATGTTGTAATGCATTTCAAAAAAATCCTTTTCTATTTAAGGTCATGTTTGTGATCATCCTCTATTAAAAAACGTAGAAAAATTCCCAGATTCTTGCTTTACTGACTTCCCAAAGAGTCGTAGTGCTGTTAAAGCAAGAATATCCAGTGGTAGTTCATGGTGTGCTCCTGCTGCAGATGGCAATCATTATCTTCAACTGAATTTTCCGAGTCTTTATACAGTTAACGTTATCACTATCTTTGGAGACAGTTCAAGTTCAAGCTTTGTAACTAAATATCACTTGCAGACAAACATTGATGGTGTGAACTGGAAATCTGAAAAATCCCAAAAGGTAACGGTAGAATTTTCGAATTTGCATGTTATAAATTTAATGGGAAATTTAAAAAAGGAATGAAGTTATAAACTAAGTAAACTTTTAAATTTCTATTTATATACAAGCTTGTGTGCAGATGTTGATTCAGTGGTGTAGCCGGCACGCAAAATTGCTGGTTCTATGTAAATTTCAGATCATTATCATTATTCATTTCTTTAAAGATCTGTTGTTTTTACAGTAAGTGAGCTCTGAGAAATTTACGTATAGCACGACCAAATTTGTGGGCTAGCTACGTCACTGTGTTGATTGTCTTGGTTACTCCAGCACTACGAAGGACTCTTGAATTTGATTATAAGGTTTAAGTTGTAGCTATGTGCATAATTTGAAGACATACATAGACAATGCATAAACTACTTTCCTCTGGACTGCGTTAAACAAACGTTGCTTTTCTTTAACCTTGCTCTGCAAATACACGAAAATCAATTTTTTTTGTTTTATTCCAGATTAATCTAGGAAACAAAAATGGTTACAATGATGCGGCTATAGAAAAGTTTTCTGGTGGCCTTAAATCCAAAGCTTTGCGAATCTTTCCATTGAAATTTGTTGGTGCACCGTGTTTACGAATTGAAATTTGTGGAGGAGGTAAGAGGTGGAAAAAATATGCCAGGTTTACTTTGCACCGTAAGCACTTAATTACTCCATATATAAAGTTTTTTTCTCTGAGTATTAATTAAACATGTGTTAGTTGACAAACAGAACAATTTTCCATGAAGGCTGAAGTGTTAGTTTCTTCCTCTGTTGAAATAAACTTATTGAAACAAGCCTTTTCAGCATGCAGTTAAGTTAAACACGTGTTATTGAAGAAAAAGCAGAACACTGATTTCATTTAGGGGCTACACATGGTTCAATTTGTAGATTTTTCTTTTATCGTGCAGACTTACTCCCAGACAAACCAACAGATCTCATTGCAACCAAATCTGCATCGACGTACCTTGAGATATCATGGAAACATCCCAAAAAAACTGGTGTATAACTTGGTACAAATATCTCGAATTCTCTTAAAAGATATCTATTGATTTTGCTGAAGGATACTATGATTGTTCTTAATAAAACTTTGGAGGTAACTGACAAAAAACCGTACAACATTACGGATCTTGTTCCTTACGCAACGTATAAAGTTAATGTAACTGCTGGCAATTCTGAAGGCTTTGGTAGATCAACTACAGCTACTTTTAGAACTGCAGAAGATGGTGAGTTCATATCAGTTTTTGTGTATACATATCGGCTGTTGTTGCATTGATGGTGTTATTGCCATAAACGACTTTTGAAAGCTCAAATCTTTTCTGCTCGACATTTATTTCAATCTTGTTTTTCTTATACTGTATTATATTTAAGTTAACAATGACAGTGTACACTTGTTAGACTTCTTTCTAAAGTGTTTTTAATGTTTTACATAAATCTTTAAAACATATGTTTTAATTTTTGTTTAGTTCCCGAAGGTCCACCTTTAAATGTTGAAATTTTCGTCTTAAGCAGTTCATCGTTATCAGTTACGTGGGAGCCACCTGATAAGAACAAAACAAATGGAAAGATAGTCAGTTATACTGTTTGTATTACACATTTGGAGAATGAAACCTGTTCAATGAAGTATATCATCGAGGAACAGCGTTTGGACATAAATAATGTGGAACCAGGGACAAAATATTATGTTCGTGTTTTAGCTTCTACAATAGTGGGATCTGGATGTTACAGCAATGATACATGGGTATTTACAAATGGATGTAAGTTGTCTATGGTTTATGCACAGGTTTGTTTAAGATGATAAAATTTTTCAAGTTTATTTATTTAGTGGCACCTGAACTGTCCACCAAGCAGATTGGAAATACGTTGACTTATTTGTTGCAAAATCCAAATTTGGAATACCGGTAACTATGTATTTTACTAAATTTATTGTAAAAGAGCTTAAAAGAACTTAAAAGTATTATTTGAATTTTTCGGACTGTTGGCTAAGTATATAGGACAGTTGGTTTCATGTGGGATCGAGGTAGTCTAAATATCTCTCTGGGAAAACTTTGATTAACCGTCGCTTTTCTCTGACACTGCAGTTACCTAACATATATTTTAATGATTAACGAAAGCAGAGATTATGCATAATTTTCAAAAAATATTTTGCTTCAAATTTGCAGATATTTGTATGTAGTCGCAATGGAAAATGGCGAGGAAGAGAGTCGATTGCCTTCTAACTTTAAAAACACAGACTTAGGGACTTATTCTAAGGCCATATCTTCCGCACAACCAATGCCGTATATTGCCTCTGTAGTCTCTCGCAGAGACTTTAAGCCTGATTTTACACTTGGTGATGGTAAAAACACAATACAGCGTTCCAATGGTGAAAATTATTATAATGGCCCGCTGAAGCCTGGCACTAACTACAAAATATTTCAGCGCATTTTCATTAATGATCAGGTGAGATCTTTTTTTTACGTTTTTATCTTCATTGATTGCTGCAAATTTTATCCCAAAATAAATGTTCACTTCGTTTTAGGGTGATTACTATTCCACTGACTGGTGTCCAGTGGCAACAACTGCCCAAAAGCACAAGGGTTTAGGTTAGTGATTGCTTCCAATAGCTAAAGGGATGTGTGTCGATAACTGAAGTGTAATACTTTATAAATCTCAGTACAGACAAATGCCAGAAATTTATTTAACCATGAGTAGAGATATTGTTTGATGATGTAACCAAGTTTCAAGAAACAACATCCATTGTGATTTTGTGTACGTCTTCTCTGATTTAATTAAGTTTCAAACGTAATTTATACCATAAACAAATCATGAATTGTTAATAGGTGTGAATGTGGGAGTGTTCGTGCAGTTACAGCCTCAGATTTAGAGAAGTGATCGCTGAAAGGCAACATAAAATTTGTCATTCGTTTTTATCTTGTAGGCGGTGGAAACACTGGAGCTATTGCTGGTGCAGTTGTAGCTGCAGTTTTGGTCACTATTGTTGTCATATTGGTCATTCTTTATGTTAGGATGAATTCAAACTCTGCTACCGTGCAGTGAAATGCGTATTGTAGTCATTCGACGGCCATTAAAATTTCTCAAAAATGGAGGAAGTTAATTTTTTTCGCGAAATTATTAGAAGTTTTCTGAAATTTAGCGCATGAAAGAATATAATTGAACAAAAAACCTTTATTTCCTTTTTAACTATAAGAGTAAACGAGAGTGAATGATTCTGAACAGTATTTGAAAACAAATTGGAACATAAAAAGTACTCAATATTTTAAATAGGATAACGGCAGTAATAATTTTTATCTAAATACATTAAATAAGAAATAAAGTAACGTTACAAATAAACAGTGGCAAAGCAAGCTCAGTAATTTATTTTAATGAGGGAGGTGGGATTTTCATACATTCATGTAATTTGGAGTTAGTGGAATATGTATGAATATGTGCGCACTGTCATCTCATTAATTTATCTGAAGTAAGAAACAGGAAGTTTTAGTGGATGGAATTTACTTTCTTACCAACAATGTTAGTGTTAATAAAATGTTGCTGTTCTTGTCCTTTTCTGTTTTCGCTTATTATCCCCATTATAATACTCATTATCCCCATTATATTATCCCCATATCGGTTGGAAGCAACGACACAAGATTTTGCAAAACAAGAAAAATTCATGTGATGGAAAAACATATCCTCTCCTATAGTTTGTTGTCAACCTCTCTCTTTGTTTTTCAACACTGGCCGGAACACCCACCGAAAGATTGATCTAGGTAGTCGGTACCAAAATTTCGTAACATTAAACGCGGTTAAAATTTACATTTGTGTTTAAATTATGATTGATTTACGGAAAATATCAACTTGTTACAAATACAGAAATGCAAAATATAATTCAGAGACTCTAGACTCTAGATATGAAAAACATAGCCACCCTATCACGAGTATCTCCGATTCATTAGTTTTCCTTAGTTGGAACACACACCAACGATTATGATGTATGAGCTTTCACTTCATAAGAATATGAGCAGACGAACCCCAAGTAAAAGAGTTTCTTCTCGTCATGTAATATCAAGTAGTCTATTGATATCTTCAACTAATCACGTGTTAATTATTTATAGTTGGGCTGCTTTTTTTTGTCCACCTCCTGTTCACTTAATTTTTATTACGATCGTTTTAGTCATTCATTTTTATACTATAGGCGTTGGAAATTATGGAGCTTTAACTTGTGCAGTTGTTGCTCCTGGTTGGTTTTTATTGTTGTCGTATTGGCTGTTCGTTAGGATCAATCTAAACTCTTGTACTCGAATGTGCAGTAAAATGCGTATTGAAGTTATTCGACGACTACTGACAACAATTGATGAGAGTAAATTTTTGACTTGCAATTCAGCCATGTTGGTAGTATAATAGGAAAGAATATTTTATCAGTGTTATTGTTGGCACTAGCCGTCTTGGGCCAGCAACATTGTTTGGTAAATCTCACAACACTATATGGTGACTGCTTACTTTCATCTCTCAATCTATAGGTTAGCTTAACAACTGTATAGAAGTAATAAAGAACTTAGCTTTTAGAAAGGAAAATCACAACTCAACTTCATGTAACAATATGTTTACACAGTCTGTCCTCTTGTTTATTATCAATGGCTATCATTATATTAGACTCCTCTGTATACGTAGAGACTGGATGTACGATTTAGTATTGTGGAAGAGGTTTGTATTTTGGAATCATCAGAATATTCCTACCCACTATAAGAAAACTCAAGTACTACAGTAGCTCTTACCAAGGGTTTGTTTAGGTAGCTAAAGTAGCTCATATAACAGCACCATTTTTTTACCCCACAAATTGTTCCATAGTTTTCCTCGTGTTACAGTTGTATATAGTGTCATCACGTGAATCTACCTGGCATAATGAGCAAGGAGTTGTACTAAATGGAGTTGACTCTGCCAACTTTTAATATTTTTTTGCAAGTATTTTTAAACATATCTCCCTGCTAAACAAAATATTACACTAGTTATAATAATTACCAACGCATGTAGGATCAATTCAAACACTACGGCATATATTCATTTGTATTGTTTTTATTTAATTCTTTATTATTACAAGTAAACGCATGCTTTTAGGGGCAGTAGTGATTAAATGTCCACCAAGCAGAGCCAAAACGTCCCGCGCAGCCCGACGGAATTTTTCTAAACCTCTGAGGAGAATATTTAATCACTAATATCTCTTAAAGCATGCATTTACTTTGTTATAACAAGCTTGCGAAGGGAATAATCAATTCATTAGACTCTTCTGTTTCACAATAATTTTATCAAATTTTGAGCTCATTTATTTCAATATTGACAACAATCGATGTTTGAAGCATACATTGTTCATGGTCAGTGAAAGAATAAACAATTCACCTTGCTACTCAATTGTGAATTCTGTTTTTGAAGCTATGTATACTTACCTTTTCAATTACATATACTGTAGTTTGGTTATTTTTGAATTTATTAATGGTTGATCACTGGTTTCCCCAAATTAGCTCAGCTAACTGTTAGCTTGAAACAAAAAAGTTTCTGATGAGTGGGAAAGACGATTTCTGTTTTCACTCAATGACATGATTTGTAAGACACACAGGTTTGTAATACTTCAAGTTCGGTGATTTTGAATAATATGGCTAAATTATTTGTGTTTCAATCTGAAGAATTAAAGACGTAACAACAGTCGATCAAAAGAACTTTCAACTTAGTAAACTTGCACTGGAAGTATTGTGGTTTTAAAGGACATGCTGAAAATATCAAACTGTTAAACTTTTTTACTGAGCAGAATTGAAAGTGATCAATCTGTGGAAAAATGAAGATGCAACCTGAAGCAAATTCTACATGACGAAAATAGAATTTGAAAATAATATAGGTTGATTGCGTGTTACGTTACGCCACCATGTTTCTGGTCAAATACAAAAGAATATCTTATCAAAGCCATTGTTGACACCACTTGACGTGAGTGGGTCACATTGTTTCATAATTTCTTGAAGATTGGATGCAATCCAAGAATTGGCGTTTTGTTTTATTATCATGCATTAGGGATATTTAGTCTAAACGTCGCTAATGAATGTATTGATTAGAAAAATACGTCAGCCAACGTCTATGTGATGACAGAAGATCCCGAGGCAACCATGTTATTACATATGCTGTTAATGACTTAATATGGACAATGACCATATGCAGTCTCTGATTAATAACAATTTAAACCGGCGGTTCATTACAGGTAATTTTACAAATGTAAAGAAATCTCAAAAAGCTAATACCAAAAATTTTGAAAACAAAAATAAAACAGGTATGAATGCCAACTTTTACAAAACAGTGAGGACAAAAAAAGTAAAAAAAGCTTCGTTTCAGTTTAAGTAAGCCTTTATAATAAACCTTTTATTAACTTGTTTATTCGCTCTTCGAGCCTGCGAGGTCTGCACATAAAGAATTACATGATGCGATATTTCTCTTTAAAGACTTCAAAATTAGTAAAGGCCTTATAATACAACTAATTTTAATGTGATATTTCGAAATTTATCTGTTTCTACATGTTTTCGGTGCACCTCTTCACATCAAAACGTAGACTTAAGGACAACACTTAACAACTAATTAAAAAAGCTATACTACGAAAAAAATTGTAAAAATTGCCTAAATTAAAATCATCATATCTATTTTTAACTTAGTTTGATATAATATCGCACAAAGTGGCCGTATCTTAATATTTCTCTGCTTGTGTAAGGTGTATTTCTGCATTCGCCATATTGTGTCCGTTTTTCAATTAATAAAATAATAAAGGTAAGATAGTAAAACGGAACTTTCTTATCGTCGATGCCATGTTAACATTTAATACTGCAAATTTTTCTTCCACTGAGTTTCATTTACCACAATACCTCTATGCCTAATGTAGGATTCGTGACAGGTTATTACATTCATATTTTGAGTCATATATATTATTATATTTTCGCTAAAATCTCTCAACTAAATCAAAAACAAGCCCTATTCCACTGTTCTGTAAATAATTTTGTTCTTCAGCGGCACTAGCAAAAAATAGAAAAGAAATCCGCTAGAGATTTTCAATTCTTATGGAGTATTCATTGTCAGTTAGTACTCCACGAATAACTTCAAACAAAGGAGTAACAACAACATTGAAAAAATGTAAAAAGTTGCAAATTACTTCCACGATTTTCTTTGATATCTCCGTAAGTTTTTATAAAAGAATTTAAGCAATCTCAAGATAACGCTGAAACCCAAAACTACTTTGCTGCCCTTAATATCGACGTTCATTGATATCGCGAGCACTTCCTCCAAAATAGAAATAAAGCTCCGCTGTGCATGTAATGTACATATCTAACACTAGTTTCAACATTATTTTTGGTCATTATTTTTTTAAATTTTTAATTTATTTAGTTCATTTTTCAACTGTAACTTTATGAATTTGTCAACTGAGCAATTTAGCTGTTTTATATATCTCCTAATGTGTTTAATCCGATGAATTAAAAATTCGAATGGAAATGCAATACGGGTATAGCTATAGAGGTAATACGGGTATAGCTATACAGCTATAGAGGCTGCTTTACAAGAAATTGTAAAATACTTTATGATTTCATAGGTTTTTTACATGTATCATGACGTAACGGGAAATTGAAATGAAATTACTAATGGGAAGCTCTACATGGACAATTGTTATTTTCATATTCAGAGAAAAAATTTTAACATCGTCCTGTGTTCTTAATCTATTGTATCTAAAATAAATGATCTGCATTGACTTTAATTTGATCTCGCTTTCTTCGTTTCCTTAGCGCTATCCACTAAAACGCATTTCTTTCATCGTTCAATAAATCTCTTGAAACAAAAGAAGTTGAAATTTAGACTGAACCGAGTAAAAAGAATAAAGCATAAATTGAAGGATAAGCAAGTTTCACTATTTTAAAAAAATTATAACCAGCTACATATATAATAGCTACCATGGCTACCATTGAGAGAGACATCATGCAGCCATATGAGACTAACTCGATCTATTTCTGAACAGTTTCTCTCGCTGCATAATTTTGCTGAAATGAATTTTTTAGATAAGGCTCATATATTGCTAAAAATACGTTTTGATCGTGATCTGCTTGCATCACAGATGTAATTGTGACGTAGTCATTGTCGGTCTAAATATAAATGTAAAATCTTCTGTGATACCGTATATACATCCAACAATCAATTATAATTTAGAACTTTACTCTATGTCCTTGGATCTATGCAATGATGAGTTTAACGATATGGAGGTTATTGTGGCTGTTATTTGGTCAGGGATTCACAATGAAAATGGGTTGGAATGAAGAGCTTGAGTTTTGTGAGGTGGAATGGAAGAAATTTGGGG